AAAAAAAAAAAAATTTGATTTATACTAAAATAAAAAAAAAAGATTTCTGGGATGATTTATTAAAAAAAGTATATAAAAAAAGTATATAAAAAAGTATATATAAGTTATATAAGTTATTTTGATTATTAATCCTTTTAAAAATGAAGGGGGGGCGTCGGGGCGGAGTTTTAAAATTTTTTATTATTATTATTTATAATTATTAATCGGGAAAATTATAACAAATTTATATTTTATTTTTCTTTATTTTATTTATTTATTTTTTTATTTATTTTAATTTTGACAAAAAAATATATTAAAGGGGGTTCAAACTTGCGGCGTTTTTTTTTTTTAGTTTTAGTTTTTTTACAGTAACTTGTGTATATAACACTATACACTAATACAGTATTTAAATCCTTGTATATATTTAAAATATCACAAACAAGAATATTTATTTACTATTTAAAACCATCTGCGTTTCAACGTGATTTTTTTTTCATTATCATATAACTGAATTAGAAAGTTACAAAAACGTGTGATACTTTTAAGAAACATTTACCTATAATTATTATATGAAATTAAATGAATACTTATATAGATATACAAATCTGGAAAACAATTATCATTGCTTCCATTTCAGCTTCTTTACGAATTCTAAATTATGATACACATTACACGTAACTTAGTCACGTAACACGTATCCCACGTAAACCACGTATAAACACGTGATTATCGTGATTTTATATATATACGTGATTCTCGCAGTATTTTTAAATAACCAATCGTGGTTAATCATTGATGATCTGTTATTATGGTGCCTCAATGACTTCAATGAGATCATTAAGTTGCCACGAAAAAAACGGCACAAGCATCACAAGCGTTACAAGCTATCACAAGCATAACAAGCATAACACGCGAAAAAAATTAATATATCATAATTGTAACTTAGGTTATGTACATTACATGCATGACATATTAACATACATTTAGGATGGATTCCATGCTTATACAGAAATTTTTAAGCATAAAAAAATATTAACAAATAATCGAAATAATTTTAAATAACCTTATTTGTATATTTGTAAGAAAAAAATAAAAAAATCTCTTATTATGATACACATTCTTTATAATCTACATATTCTAAAATGTACAAAAATTACAAAAATTTTAAATAACCTTCCAAATCTTCTAATTACATTCTTTATTTTTCATATGTCCTATGCCCTTCATTTTGTTATATAAATAAAGGATTTCACATTACATGCATCAAGTCATCAACAAATTTTACTCCAATAAAATTTATCATATTGTATGCTTTGCTTTATTATTTTTTTTTTAACCAAAATAAAAAAAATCATGAGATTGTAATAATTACAATGAATATTTCTATGGTAGAAAAAAATAGTCAAACGGTTTTTTTAAAATTAACTTATATTACCTATTAGGAAGAATGATCCGTCAAAAGAAATTGAATGAGAATTTCGGTAAATCATTTAATCGATGAACTTAAAAAGGTAACAAAACTTTTTTTTGAAATTTTTTTTTTTTTGAAATCCGCAAATTCTATCCATTAATATCATGATATCATCCCCTTGGTAAATCTTTTTAAAAAAAAAAAGGTTTAAGGAAGGTTTAAGCCTTTAAGGTTTCTTGTTGGATGATCAAAATTATTTACTTTTTTGTACGGTACAAAATTCAAATTTACGGTACAAAATTCAAATTCCCCTTAGAATCAATCAATGCTCCTCATTGTTTAATAAAATAAATATTTATTCGTTTCAGGGTAAAATCAAAGGTCGGTTAATTTTGTTATTGTTTTGATGGCTGATGGATGATGGGATGATGATGGCGTTTCATATGGAATTTGATGATTGGGGAGTAAGGTACAATTCGAAGTAAGGTACAATTCGACGTGAGGTACATTCTTACTGTACATTCTTACTGTACATTCGACGTATTCGACGTATTATTCGACGTATTATTCGGCGTATTATTCGACGTATTATTATCTTATGATTTCAAAAGTTTCCATAGCAAGATTCCATGGATTTCATTGATTCCATAGATTCTTTATGAATGAAATCTTTTTCAAATATTTTTAATTATTTTTAGAATTGTATTATCATACGTTCATTAAAAATTTTAATTTATTATTTCCTCTTTTGGAGTTTTTATTCCTTTAACGTTTTATTTAGAAAAAATGGATTTTAAAAAAACTTCTAACTTTATTCGTTTGTGATACACCACACAATACATGAAAAAATAATAAAAATAATTTATTTTTTTCCTACCCCTTAAAATCTCTTCTTTCTAACTCCTATTGAATGTAGTACGAAAATATTTATTATTTTTTTTTTTATATTATACATTTTTAATTATCATCCGTTATTTTTAATCTATCAGTTTATTCTTATTAACATTTTTCGACAAATTTTCTTTTTTTTCCTGCAATTTTCCGAAAAATTTTCTGTTTTTGTAGATCATTAAGAATGAATGGTAACCATCCATATATCCATATTAAATCAACCTTTTTTTTTTTATCTTATCTTTATTCGAATCATTTCCTAATTATTTAACTTTTTTTGAATCATTGTCCATCCTTTAAAAAATTTAAAGTTTTTTTTTTTTTTAATAATAATAATTCATTTAATAATAATCCATTTAATAATAATTCATTTTAACACAAAAAAAAATTCGCTTTTTTCTTTTTCTTTTTATTTTTTTTTTTTT